AATAATTTCTTGCATCTTATCAGATCATAATAGAGTAAAACTATAGCAAGAGAAACTATGCAAACACATGGAGGTCGAACAGTTCACTTTTGAATGGTCAGTAGGTCAGTAATAAACCATAGAATTTTTTAATTCATAGAATCAAATGAAAATGAAAACACAATTTACCAGAATCTCTGGGATACAGCAAAGAAAGTTCTATGAAAACTTATAGATGTGAGTGCCTACCTCAAAAACTCAGAGAGACCACAAATAACCTAATTATGCAACTTGATGTCTTAGGAAAACAAAACCAAACTAATAGGAAGGCAATAATAAAATTAGAGATGAAATTAATGGAACAGACTAAAAAACAAAATGCAAGGTAAGTGAAATAGTTTGTTCTTTGACAAGATAAACAACATTGATAAACCCTCAACCAAACCAGCCAAAAGAAAGCGAGAGAAGATCCAAATCAAATCTGTTAGCATTGCAGGCATGGTGGCACATGCCTGTAATCACAGCACTGGGGAGAATCATCACAAGTTTGAGGTCATCTTGGGCTATGTACTGAATTCAGGACTAGCCTGAACTACATAGTGAGACCTATCATAAAAAGAAATATTATTAAAGATGTTATAAGTCACACCACTGAAATCCATGATCAAGTTGAGTTCGTCCAAGGGATGCAAGGATGGTTCAACATATGCAAATCAATAAATACAATAATCACATAAATAGAATCAAAGATAAAAATCATGATTGTCTCAACTGCTACAGAAAAGACTTGACAAAATTCAGCATTCTTTCATCATTAAACCCCTGTAGAAACTAGGTATTGAAGGGTCATATCTCAATATATAAAAGGATATAGATACATAATTAACATATCCAATATCATCCTGAAAGAGGAGAAAATGAAATTATTTCCTCTAAAATCAGGAACAAAGCAAAGATATCTGTTCTTACTAGTCCTAATCAGTGAAAGTTTAACCATTATAAATGAGAAAGAAATAAAATGGATATAAAACATAACTATTTGCAGACAATACGATCATATACTTAGAAAACCCTAAAAATTTCAACAAAAGACTTTTAGAGTGATAAGTTTAGGAATGTATAGATTGGATATAGAATTAATATTTTAAAATTATAGTTTTTCTTTACATTGATAAAGAACTAGCTGAGAGAGTAATCAGGAAAACAATTCTGTTTACAATAGCTCTAAAAATACTCCAGGAATCAACCTAATGAACAGGTAAAAGACCTCTACACAGAAGACAAAAGAAAGAAATTGAAGAAGACACTAGAATATGAAATGACCTCCTGCATTCAAAAGTAAGCAGAATTCATATTGTTAAAATGTCCATGTTACCAAAAGCAATCTATAGTCTCAATATGATCCCCACCAAAACTGAAGTGACATTCTTCAAAGAACCACAAAATCAATACTAAAACTCACAAGATGGTTAGTATCATGGGAGGAATCATCCTCTTGTGAAATGTTTGAATACCTAGTGGGCTCCCAGATTCAATCAGCAAACAGCATTCCATGGCCTAGGGCAGGGGACATGAGCATCAACTCCAGCAATTGCCTCTACAGGATGGACCATGCCAACCTTACTTGATTTAAAACTGACGTCATCCGAAGTGCTCATCCATGTCTACCGGGACATCCATTTCTTAAGTACTTTCACATAGTATGAAAATTTGTAGGTGCAAAAAGTTTGTCCAGGGGGACTGGGGATTTAGCTCAGCGGCATAAGCGCCTGCCTTGAAAGCAGTCGTGAATTCGATCCCTGGTACCGATAAAAACGAAAAAGACAAAAAAAAAGTTTGTCCGGGTTGGAAAGAAATGAGGAACAAAGTCAAAGAAAAGGAAGATTTGAAGGGAGAGGTCTCACTTCCACGGCTGTTTTGTGGCTTAGGTTTACAATGGTTAGCAGTACAGTTAGCACAGTACTAACAGTGTAGGCAAGTAATGCCCCAGGGACTGTAGTTATATGTTTATTTACATGTGTGCATTACATGTGTATAAACTACGTACTGTTATACAGTTTCCATTTATACAATTGTATAATTATATATATTTGTATAATTATATAATTGCCTTTCAAATACATCATAAGTGGGGAGCCAATCAGTCACCACACCACATCATGAGTGGCTAGGAGAACTCTACCTGAGGCTCTTCCTTGCTGGGCATCCTGGGCTTGTCACTACCTTTCTGAGCCGTAATCTCATCTTTAAGATGGGGGCACTATCACCCACACCTCAGAGTTTTATGACAGTGAAGCAGGAAGTCTGAGATCTCCACACAGTGAAAAAGTGTTGAACCTAAACAAGATCACCGGCCTTCTTTGTTTCCAAGCATAATAGAAGCAGATGCTGGAAACCAGAATAATTTCCCAATGTCACCCAGTGATCAGGTACACGGTACTCCCACCCCAGCCTTTCTCTTTGAGGACTCTGTAATGTTGAGCATGCCTTGCCTCACTCAGGACAGACTATTGGACCCTGTCATGTTGATTCTAACCCAAGACTTTCTTCTGAGAACACACAAGGGAAACCACATATACCTGGCAGTGCCCATGTGCAGGTGGAATAACCAGCCCCAGACATACCTGAGCCCCTCTGGCCCTTCTACGTTTGTTCCTGGGTAGTACCCACAGGTGCCCAGGACAGGACCAAAATACTGTCTTAATGTTTTCTCTTAGTACTGTCAGGGTTTGATGGTGTTTTCCCCACCATCTTTGAGATGCATCCCAAAAATCAAAAGCATGAGGTGAGGATTCATGGGCAAGCAGTTCAGTAAGAGAAGACTTCCGGAAGTAGCTGGGAAGGAAGGTGAGAAGCTGGGGAGGATGCCCAGCTGGGGAGGATGCCCAGTAAGGTGTGTTTGCAGCCAAGTTCATCCTCCGCCGGAGCTCAGGGATGCTGAGGAGGGAAAATGAATCCTCAGAGCTTGTCCAGCTTAAGGCAGGGCAGCTCCTCTTTCATTCTCTTATGCCAAAGAGCAGCTGGTTCAAGTCCCCAAGAGCAGCACCCTGAAAGAGTGGCAGATGCCAGCCTTGAGAAGGAATGCTCACTGGAGCTGGGGTGAGTCCAGGAAGACAGGGAGCACTGAGCAGAACCCCAGCAGCTCTGCTGTAAAAACCAGCCCCAAAAGAGGACTTGGAGCTCTCTGAGCTGTCTCAGAACATAGAATTTCCCCACATCCTCTTTCAGCCCCATCTCCACACGCCCTGAGCACATCCCACCGAATCCATCATCCCAGGCTCCAGCAGGGGCCAGCAAGGTGCTTAGCAAATGAAACAGAACAGCCTCCTCAGCAAGGGTACAGGCTGCCACTCAGTATGAAAATTCAGCAGACCCCATGACAGGCTCAGGTGATGGGACGATGATCAAGCAGAAGACCCCTGTCCGAGAGCAGCTCCCAGTTGTGGGTAGTCTTCCAAATGGCAAATTCTGTCTGGTATCACAGCACATGCTTAGGATAATCCCATTCTCAACAGGTGATGGTGCCCTCAAAACTTCAGAATCAGCAATAAGACTTTTCAAAACATCGTCTCACATGAAATTTCAAAGAGATGGTACCTCATAAGGAATTGAACAGCTAAATAAAACCAGGAGACAGTCATCCTATTTCTAAGAAGAATGATAGGCATCTGGTCACAGAAGTTCTGAGTATCTGAGTTACTGGGGTAATGCCACAGACTCCAGTAACTAACACTGTCCAGGACCACCACAAGCCACACGTCGTCCTGGCTTTAGAGAGCTGCCCCCTTTCTTAATGAAACAAAACGTGCTATGCTGGGTCATGCATGTCCCAGCAGGTCATTCATGCAAGAGACCCTTCCTGACCCCACAGATGCAGCCCCTGGTGCTCATGCAGGTGAGGAAGCTAACCAGGACCACAGGACAAATCTTATGTGTGACTCTGAGTCAAAGCCCACACTTTTAACACCACACTAGGGTGGCAGTGGTGCAAAATCCACTAACCCCAGCAATTAGCTAGATGGTTCCAGGTATCTTTAGAGCACTGTGGCCAGCAGGGTGCTCTCTCTGCAAATGTGATGTTAGATAAGATCATTTTTCTCTTCTCTATACACTGTTTGCTAAGATCAGCCGGTAAAGAGAGACTACAGGGATCTATAGTGTTAGCCAGCATTTCAGTGAGACAAAGAAATCAAATCGATTTACCTTGATAGCTCATGTGGATTTTTTTCTTCCGCATGTGGTTCACTGGTTTTATTATTTTATCTTTAAAGTACATTTTCCACAGTACCTAAATGACTCAAAAGTCATTGATATGATTTACTGCCAGATCACAAATTAAAAGTACATTACAAATTTACCTTGCCACATGTTACAAGTAAAGGAAAAAAGAGGACAGAAAGAAAGAAAACAAGAGACTATGGAAGTGAATTTTAAAACTTACAGTTGCTGAGCTTTCTGGAGTGTTTTTAGTGCTGTTTATGTGTAAATCCGTGTGTTTTAAAGCATTTCTGATTCTAGTACTGTTCTCACAAAGAACATTTCTTTACAAATGGATGGATTTAAATGTCATGGAAAACGTGTGGTGAGTATATAATCTATTCACAATTAAACTGTAAAGGGAATACAAAATTCTTACCATCCCTTCAGACTCGACATGACAGAAATCTCTCTAGGAATATTTTCAAACACCACTAAGTTGAAAACATCCAGCACCTATGACACAGCTCCTATATATAAGCCATGGCCTGTGTGCCAATTCCCGATGGTTCTGGGTCTAAAAATGCAAAGCAACGAACCCAGGGCTGGCTGTGTTTCACCAAGGCAGCTCCAAAGAAACTTGAGCTTCTGAAGTGATTGAGCAGCACAAGTTTGCACTGAGTGTTAGTCATGAAAACAGAAGGGAATCATACTCCAATGTTTAAGAAATCAGAGAGAGAAAAGAAGCACACATTTAATTAATAAGTCAAGACCTGTTTGAGCCGCAGAAATCACAATGATAACCCAAAGAACACTTTTCTTACTTGCCATCAATGAGCACTTCAGACTGCCGATTATTCACTTGATTATCACTCTTGTGACGAAACTGGAAAAAAAAAATCCAAGTGTTTGTCATGGAAAATTATAAATCACATTTTATCAGCCCAATGGGAGCACTGGAATGATTCTGAGTTAATCTGTTTGAAAACCACTGCCACTGGTCCAACACAAACCCAGGTTTATACTTACCTAGAACCCAGACCCTTGACCTAGTTCTAAATCAACACTCATCTCACTAAAACTCACTCTGGGCATGGTCAGTGAAAGAATTCTAGCCACATGCCAGGCTCACGGTTCCAATTCTCATACGTTTTTAGTTACTTCTATGAAGACAGTGCGCTCTTCCCTCCACCACCTAGTCTCAGAGGAAGCCACATATATGAATGTCGATGACTTATCCAGGAATGGTGGCTTCCAATTCCCTCCCAGAGATGCTCAGAATTTTCCTAGAACATCATTCCTTCTGTTCTATGAATTTTTTGAAATCAAGAAATAACTTGTAACAGCATGTATTTTTATTCTCCCAAAACTCTAATTGTTAACAGCGATTTTTTTAATACCAAGCATTTAAAACAAAAAATCTGAATGCAATACTGAATCACGTTTGGTGTGAATTTTTGTTTCATATCCAAGTGACTCTACTTCTTACTGTATGCTCTAGTAATGCAAATATCTTAAACTACTCAGAAGAATCCAAATATTCTGAGATTTCCACGAGATAGAGAAGTTAGTGGACATTTAGATGAGTATTTCTTATCTGTCAAGATCAGATCACACCAAGTGGCCTTCGAGATGGGGGTAATAGAGAGACAGGGGGATAAACAGTGAGAGGTAAACACAGACCTCTGTCATCACTGTAGCCCGCATGCACAGGTGAGTGGGGCAGTTTCAGAGACAAGACACTGGGACTTCATAATCACAAGGTCAAGTGCTTTTTCTCTTTTTAATTCACAATGCTGTGTGAGCAGCACACCATGGTCTCACAAAAGGATCATTCCCACTTTGCTCAGGGGTCTGGAAACTGGATCAGAGGGCATCTGGAAAGGATTACAAGTGGAAGTCTCAAGTCCTATGTGTTGGTGAAAACATACCCACCGTGTTGGTGGGATCCTGTGTATCCCATAAAACATGGTAAATGAAGACAAATATATTAAGTGTGTGTGTGTGTGTGTGTGTGTGTGTGTGTGTGTGTGTGTGTGTGTGTGTGTGTCTGGAATGGGGAAAGGAGAGAAGAAAAGGGAAAAGATTATATGCATATAGATTATCTGTATATAGACATATAGATAGATATATGTATACATTATGATAGCCATATTACTAATCTCTGTTACTTTATCCGAAAGAACAGTTTATACTTTCATTGTTTGTTTGATCATTTTTTATACCTAAACCTTGTAACCTGAACAACTACTTCTAAGATAACAATATGCAATATATTATTTAGTGTTAATTTCCTACTCTGTTTTTGAAATTCTGTATCATTTCTATCCTTGTTTCTCTTTCTTAAAATAAAAAAGAAACACAATTGTTCATGCTTTGCTGAAAAAAAATATGTGTGTGTATGTGTATATGGCAATTTTAAAATAACTCACATCCAATTGATAATGCATAAAATTGTTGATTACGTATAAAACAACCACAAAAAAACAACTTGACAAGGACAAATCTTGCTTCCCATCTCTTTCTCACACTCAGTCATGGGGCTGGGTTTCCGCTGTCTCCCAGCAGCCTTCCCTAACTCTGCATGCCGCCTCTATTACCAACCCAGAGACTTAAGGGCATCATCTTCCCATGAAGACCGAGGCACTTGAAAAATACTACTTTGTGACAGTTTTAATCTCACATTATTGTTCTCTGCCTGCCTTCACTCAGTCCACTCATTGATGTGCAAAGTTCTCCCTACCCAATGGAACAATAGAAATGGAGACATTATTTTATGTAAGTGTGTGGCTTAGGGGGAATCACCTCCCCATTTTTTTTATTTGAAACTTTTTAAAAACTCATTTCTGTGTGTATTCCCTTTTTCCAATCCCCATATAGCTTGACACAGAAGGACATGGTGAACAGGAGCCAGGGCTCTGAAGCCAGATTGTCCCGCATAGACTGTGTTAAGTTAAATCCTGAGTAACCACAGGAAAACCGTATCTACTATGCCAGTAATAAATACAAAATTGAATCACAAGAGTTAACTAATCTAAAATGGAGGCAGAAAAATGTAGCAAAGAACAAATCGAGCATATAGAAAATAATAGCAAGATACTAGATTCAAACCTAATCACCATAAAAACATTAAACATAGATGAACTAAGCACTCTCATTAAAAAGCAGAGATTTTCATTTTGTTCAGAAAATACTGCCCAACTATATGCTTAAAGATAGGTGAAAGTAAACAACAGAAAACATGAGTATGAACTCGTAGGAGAGATCTGAGAGACACATAGAGATGTAGATCTATGTCACTGGAATATGAACGTATAAATAGTTATTAAGACCATGACATATTCAAGCAACCAGGATCAGAATATAGCTTATCTGGATTTAAGAAATTTGGTTTTTCAGGGGCTGGGGATTTAGCTCAGCGGCATAAGCACCTGCCTTGCAAGCAAGCAGTCATGAGTTCAATCCCTGGTACCGATAAAAAACGAAAAAGACAAAAAAAAAATTTTTTTTTTGGTTTTTCCCCAAAATTATGTCCTAAATCTTTGGATTGCAATTAGAATTGGACATTCTCTATGTTACACAGGCTTCAAAACCTTTACCATCTTACTCCTCACTTACTTGTATTAGTATTTTGATTTTTGAAACTTCTGATTTTGTAACTTCTAGTAGGTTGACTACAGTACAGGGCATATATTTACCAATTCCCAAAACCTAGACCAAGGAATATGATAAGGAATAAATAATATCACACTTGGTACCCACGGGTTGATTTATAAATCCAGCTTGTTTTCCATGAATTGGTTGCTCTATAAGAAGCAAATGGTGGGGCTGGGGATTTAGCTCAACAGGCATAAGTGTCTGCCTTGCAAGTCTGCAGTCATGAGGTCGTAAGTTCGATCCCCAGTACCAATTAAAAAAAAAAAAAGAGGAAGAAGCAAATGGCTAGCTCTTTCTGTGCTTTTAAACTTTCTCTTTACCTGCACCCTTCTGAAGCCCATCCCAATCTCTCTAGTGGGCTATGCCCTCTACGTACAGTTACACAACACAGCCCATGGAAGTGAACAGATATTACGAGTAAAAATAAGAAAACAAACATAGCATTTATTAACATGAAAATTATTTAAAATAATTTTACAAGTAAATTGAGTCAGCCTATTCATTCACGTGCAAACTTCTCTCTGTCAACAGAACCAACAGAAATAGGAACATTATTTTATCTAAGTATGTGGCTTGGGAGGGATGCTGAACATTCTCCATTTGGATACTCTCTGGCTGCAGCTACCCTCTGTCCCTCCTCCTCCTGGCCTGGACCATGGAAAGATGCCTGTCTGGTCTTTGTTTCTGCTTAGGTTTGGCCATAGATGATACTGGCAAGATCAGAGGGCCCGAGCAGAGTGGAGACGGGTATCTATTCCCTGGCTTCCTTCCTGCTGGGTCAGCAATGGCTCTGTGCTCTACAGATGGCTCCAGGGCCATGAGCAGCTCTTATTATAATGCCAGTTCTGGAAACTGCTCTTTCCTTTGCCTCTTCAGGCCTAGAAGTACTTGCACTGCCCATGTCACTCTCTTAGGTATCTTCCTTCTCCAATCCTTTATAAATGAATAATCCCTTCATCATTAAACTATGCAGTCCTTTGTTGTCAGGGTGACATCTGCCTCCTGACAAGACCTTGGCTGATGGAAATGTCCAGCTACTGAGCTGACATATATCACCACAAAAATAAGAGCACATTCGAGCATTAATTGCAGTAGAACCAAAAGAACATGTAGCTATCTCACCTGAAAGTAATTTTCTAACTTGACTCTCTGAGCATCATGGGAATTGGGAAATCAGATTCTACAACACCATTATCAACAGGTAGCTAAACAAATACCAAAAGAGTATTATACAGCAGTCACTAAAAAGAGTTTCATTTAAAATTCCAAGTAGATTTCCACTGCCTGCTTCTAAGAAGATGCAGTTGGAACCGAGCAGCAAGTACTCACATAATCATCAGTGGCATCTTTCCCAGCGGTCATAGTGATCACCAGGACCAGAGGCACAATGGTGGTGAACCAGCTCAAGGAGGAGATTTCTGGAATTAGCTGAAACAAACATTTCAAATAGTTGAGAGCTTTTTAAATTGAAAACTAAATCTCCCAAGTTTATTATTCCATTGCATATCCCATTGCCGAGAGTAATGGAGTTGGTGATAGTCGGTAAGTAGTACAGATCCATGTACAAATGTTGAATGCCTTTCAATAATGTAAGCATTTGTGTTGAATTATAAGATACATAGTGCAGAAGTACCATCTGCCAGTCTTCAAACTACCGGACCCAAATAAAAATTTTAAAGCAAGCCAAGAAGTATGACTCTCAAAATCGTTCACAGGTAGCAATCTTTTCCCAGGATATTACATGCCCCCCGTCTCCCCAACTCTTTGTCTCTACATTTAACAATTCTATCAATCTTGTTCATGCCAGTTCTCAAAGAGAGACCCTTTGATGCTCTGAGCATCCTTTACCTTGCATCAGATACTGGGTCAGCTATTTTTCATATATTAGTCCATTGGGTCCTCAGAAAACTCACTGAGGCAGAGTCTGTGCCAGAATCGTTTTGTACAAACACACTGGACTTCAATTCCATGTATAAAATGCAGTCATGACAAACAGAATCCACTGCAAATGGTAACCTGAAGTTGGAAAACATCACTGTCCTGGTTGTCATGCCCTATTTTCTTTTTCATTCTGTTTTTTTTTTCCCCCCTCCATCAGTACCAGGGATCGAAATCACGACTGCCTGACCGCCTGCTTGCAAGGTAGGTGCTTATGCCGCTGAGCTAAATCCCCAGGCCCCATACCCTATTTTCTAAGCAGAGCATCTAAAAGACCAAGGACACGGTCTCCTAACATATGAACCCAGGTCTCTTTGACTCCAAAGCCTACTCCTTTTGTGCCTGTAGCTCCAAAGCCATCCCTTAAGAGAGACATGGGGGTGGGTGTCAGGACTGTCTGAGGCAGGTGCTCTTCAAATGGGGCTCATTTTGGAGCTGCTTCAGCGCCATGAGGCAGGGAGGGGTGAAGTGGAGATGGTCCACAGATGGAGAGCAAGCCCATCAATTACACTAAAATAAATCAGCTTCATACTATAGCTTCTGCAATAGACTTTTTCATCTCAAAAGCCTCTGAGGTTCGATGGGAGGCATCAGTTGTAGTATTTTATGACACATTAAGGTGACTATAGTTCACAACTTATGATATGTGCTATGAATAACTAGAAGACAGGAGTCAAAGGCTCTCAACACAAAGAAACCCTTAAGGACGTTTAAGGAGATAAAAACGCTAAAAGCTTTGACTTGATCACTGTCTCCTGTTTACATGCATCAAATTATCATACTATCATCCATAAATCTGTGTATGGTTATGCACCATCCAAAAATAAAACTTTTTAACTCAAGGAGAAGGCAAAGCAAATAAAAAGCCTCTAAGAACACAGCAAAAGCATTGAGCTAGTAACAGAAAAACCAGATTCTGCGCCTGTTTTCTCATTAATTCATTAACATACCACCAAGTCTCTGGTCTTGTTTCTTCATCAGCAAAGAAGGGGGAACCAAGCCACCTCAAATCTGCCCTCCAAATATAAAATTGTATAAACAAGACCCTTTAACCACATGTTAAAAAGCCACTAGAGAAAAAAATGTAAAATTCTAGGATGGAAGGAAGGTTTACACAAAGAAAGCAAAAGCAAAAGCAGTGGCGGGGGTCAAGTTTTTCTCGAACAAACAGTAAGTTGTTCATTCATTTTGTTTATTTGTCTGTCTTGGTTTTGGTTTTGGTGTATTTGTCATTAGTTTTCAGTTCTTCTCAAGTATATCTTTACTCCTTAGAATCCTTATCACCTCACCACTTTAAATCCTTGTAAAGTGGTAAACTGACAAATCCTGGCTCCAATTTCTTAAGTCAATCACTGCTTCAAATTCTTGAGCAACACTGATCAGATTAGAAACAAGAATCTAGCTCCAATCAGAGCAAATTCCGAGATTCCAACAGAACACAGAAAAAGTACTATCTCCCCCTCTCTCTCTGTCTCTCTGTCTCTATCCTGTCTGTCTGTCTGTGTGTCTGTCTCTCTGCCCCTCCCTCCTTCCCTCTCTCCTCCCTTCCTTTCTTTTCCCACTCTCCCTTTCCCTCTCTTATCCTGGAATTGAGTTGGAAGGCTAATCTAAAAGTCTAAAGCCACGAGGGTCACCAGGTACAGAAGATCTGCGTAAGAACATGGCCTACAAGGAAAGAGAAGCCATGTGAATTTGTTACTGCCCGTAAACACAAACATGCTCAAAAGGAGATACACCCTTGAATATATTCAACTTTGCTTAAACTATTGAAATCCCTGCTAATTACATCCAAAGATTCTTAATACAAATAATTAATCAACTAAAGAAAACAACAGTACTCAAAGCTGTTCATCTACACCACACATATCCCCTTACCTCTTACAACTAACAGAGCCCAGCAAATTCGGAATCTGCCATCCTGGCCTGATTAAATCATCTAAAATGAATACCAGGTAAATAACAGACTAATACAAGCTGTGTGTGTGTGTGTGTGTGTGTGTGTGTGTGGAGACCTAAATGTATCTTTCTAGACTTACGTATTTTTCCTTTCCAAAATATCAGTGAAAGCTGAAATTTTCTTTAAGCCTGAATTTTAGTCAGATGGGGAGGCAAAGAGTACGGGCTACCAATTAACCACTCAAAACTGTAAAACTGGGGCTGGAGATTTAGCTCAGCGGCATGAGCACCTGCCTTGCAAGCAGGCAGTTGTGAGTTCGATCCCCGGTACCAATAAAAAGGAAAAACACACACAAAAAAAACCTGTAAAACCAGGCACCCTGCAGTGAAAAGCCCACAACACCCATAATTTATTTGACATACACATAAAATGTGTCATTGTGCTACAACCTTCTCAGGCTTAGTCAGCTAAGACTCTGCCCCTGCAATCTTCACAATGTCCACTGAAGGGGCGATAAAGGGAGGAAGGAGGCAGTGAACGGTGATTATTAAGCTCTGGTTTGGTTCAAATAAAGTGCAAGGCTGAACTTTAAGATGACCTCAGTGTTTAAAATGATTAATGCACTAGTTTTTACCCATTCCTGGCCCTCCCACATCTGTAAAGAGAAACAGCAAAAAATAACACTAAAAATCTGATAAGAATGGTTTTATCTAGTTGCAAACATTTAGCTAAGTAAACTAACTCACTTTTTCAAATTATACGAATACTTTTAACAAGCAGATGGTGAGGAAATAAATAATTACCTGTAATATCAGGAGGAAAAGGAAATAGGCATTCGCCACTCTCTGGAACTGTTCGAATAAATTAATTGGCAAGAAGGTGAGAAAGTTGTACTTGGATGTGTGGATCCGATTATCCTGAAAGAGAAACAGCATCTGGTCAATTTGGGGGCAAGGCATTGTTCAGTATAGCTTTAAATTGTACCAAGTTGGGGCTGGGGATTTAGCTCAGCATCATAAGTATCTGCCTTGCAAGCAAGCGGTCATGAGTTCGATCCCCAGTACCGATAAAAATGAAAAACACAAAAATAAAATAAAATAAAATGTACCAAGTTGAACGTGAGTTGTGCCAGAGCAAAGAAAAATAAGCCATTGGCTAGGAAATATTAAATATGAAACCCAGAGCCTCAGTTTACCCACCGTAACATGAGCCTAGCAGTAGGGGAAACTGCCCTTTGGTACTACAAAATCAGTCATGATAAAAAACCACATCAAATGCAGAAGTCCTCCTTTCAGACTTTTTCTAGGCCCTTAAAACATTTGCTCACGTGGTAGACACAACTTGAGAGGTGTGACCTTCACACTGAGGACATGGGGCAGAAGAAACTTTGGTGGAGACATTGGTCCTCCTTCCTGAAACACGGCTCCTTCAGGGCCTGATGAGGGGCCCTTGGGCTGTCTCTGAGGGTCTCCTGGGCTGGGAAACTCCCCTCCTTACAAGACAGAATGTGCCTGCTTCAGAATAGGAATTACTGCAAAGGTGTCAATGATGAGAAACCAAATCTGCCACCCTACAACTTCCCCCCTGGGGTCACAGAGACCAAGTCCAGCCCTTTCCACATTGGCAGCCTTAAATATTTGAAGAACCTTCCTAAAACTCCCTTACATCTCCTCTACTCTGATCCGTCCGTATTCCCAAACCCCTCAGGCTTCTCCAGGGTGTGTGAACAGCCCTCCCCGCTCAGCCTCCAGAGGACCCTTCCACATTTCTACGCGTCTATGTTAAGATAGTACCTATATCCTAACAGGAATTCCAGGCGTGGTTCAACCAATCCACGCATAGCAGAGGCTCCAATGTGTTGTATTTAAAACCATTACATTAACAAGCCCTAAAATTTCATTAGCATTGTGGATTGTGTGGTCAGATTGAGTTTTGATCAACTGAAATTCCTAGGTTATTCCTATATAAACCACTATTAAATCATTCCCTTCCTAAATGTTTATAGTTAATTTTTCAAATATTAATGTACAAATTATTCCATATATTTCTATTACACCCATGTAATTGGGAAAACATAAACTTTTCCCTTGTGGTGCTAGGGATTGAACCCAAGGCCTTTGCACTGGGCTACATCCTCAATTCTTATTTTTTATTTTGAGACAGAGTATAAATTGCTAAATTGCCCAGACCAGGCTCAAACTTACAAATCCCTGCCTCCCAGAGTGCTGGGATTACAAGCATCTGTCACATTTTTAATCTTTAATGTACTAAAATGTTAAATATTCCTCCCAGCTTTGAGTCATCAGAAAATTTCAAAAACACACTTTCTGTATGGGCTTCCAAACACCTCAGGTAAATAAATCCATTAAAAAGAAGAGGGCCAAGGATTTTTAAAAATTCAATGAAACAATAAAGCTATGGTGAACTACCAGAAACCTCCCCACAGATTAATGTTATCACTTGTTTCAGAGATTACCGAAAACATCCTGAGTGTGTTTTATTTAACCGCTGACTACCTACATTTCTGAGGCTTAACTCGTATCCACAAACAGCGCTGGCAGATTTGGAGTGGTGTTTTCTGCTGAAATTCAGACTCCACACGTTCAGAATAAGGTCTTTGAAAGTGAAACTGTTTGGGTGTGACTTGTTAATAACCACTGCTATCTGTCTAAGGAAATACAGCCATCTGACAAGTGACCACTTCCGTATTCACCAGGAATCAAAGTGTCCAGGTCTGGGCAGCACATTGTGGGGAAGTCAGAAGATTAAAGGAGAGTTTCCAGCTAAGTCCGTGTGATGCAAACTGTCTGGAAACAGGCTGGGCGCAGAGAGCCGGTTGTGGGAACTCTCAATAACCTGCTTGCTGTAAGAGGGGACTTGGAGAAAACAGTACAGAAGACAAAAGGCTAAGGAGAAAAACCACACAATCTATTCCTAGTCTTGTTTTATATTTTTCTTCTCAGTTAAAGCTGCAACAGAGGCTAAAGCTCACATCTTGCTTAAAGAACAGATAGAACATCTGGGATAGTCCAGTTCGTAGCAGGAATTTTAAATAATCTCATTTGCAAAACTGTAGGTAAAGAGCCACACAGAAACAATGACAGGTTTCTCCTGGTGATGCTGCTGGAGGTACAGCAGTGGTGGCGCTGTGATGTGGTCATAGACATGGAGCCTGCAGAGCCTCAGCTGGGACCAAGGCGCACAGGCGCCCTCTCCTGGGTGCTGCTGCAGAGCGGTCCACTGTACAGCGCTGCATTTCCCAGTTCAGAGGAAAGGGATCCACTATTGCTGACAGGATCCACTATTGCTGTAAATAATTAGGCACCTCCTATGCAGTCACTTCGTTGGCCCTAACTATGGACTTACAGTCGGACTCTGGCACAACTCATTCCCCAGTCCAGCACCTGTACTCCACAGGTGTCTGTACTCCAGTCTCATCCTCTCTCCATGGTCCCCAAATATGCCACCTCTGCCCACCTCAGCCTTTGGCTTACGTCACTTCATCATGGGGACAACTGGCGAACCAACCCATGTGGATAATGACTGAGTCTCGGCTTCTGGCCTGGCTTCTGTGAACACCAAAGGTGCAAGGTGCTACCTGGATTCTCCAAAAACTGCCCTCCTCCTCTTCCTCCTCCTCCTCCTCCTCCTCCCTCTCTTTCCCTTTCTCCTTCTCCTCCTTCTCCCTCTTCTACTCCTCTTCCACTTTTAAGAAACAAACCACTCTTAAATTAACAAACAGAGCATTTAAAGAGTTTGCCTCAGTTTTTCCACTGAGGGAAAAAAATGGTGCTAATAACATTTCTCATCTATATAATTACCGAGCTATTACGGAGAGGCAGTCATAAATGGAAAAGCATTTTTGCCAAGTTGAAAGAATTGCTTGTGAGCAACTTCCAGAGAATCTGAGGGGATTAATAAACGCAGCACACTAGCAGGGTGACCTGCGTGGCCACAGCAGCCAACAACTCCTAAGTCTTGGTGCCTTCACCCAGTTGGTTTATGTCTTTGCTCACCAAACTTGCCCACTGTGAATCTGCTCATCACTGTCCCTCCTGATGGAATAACCACCATCTCAGGTGTTTACAGAGGCAAGCAGAGGGAAGGAGAAAGCCCCTGGACACAAATACTTCAGCCTACAACACGTTGGCCAAGAGAGTTACTATGTGTCCAAAAGACTTGGACACTCAGGAACATCACAGTGTTTACCTCCACTGGAAATGGAAACTAACCCCAATGTTTTGAAAGCATGAAACACAGCAGCTACCAAATGTACACACATATGTCTCAAAAGCCAGCCTCACTGCTCCAAATCCCTAGCTGTCAATGCCACATGGGACAGACTCCGAACTTTTTCCCTCCCCCCACTATTTAATAGGGCACCATCCATCCGGGTGGAGTGAACCCCCTGTCTATAACTTGGGACCAGGCCCAGATCAGTATAGGCAAACCGCATGACTCCTCCTTCTCCTTCAGGTTTCAAGTTGAGCGACTGCCATGTGACCTATGTCCATTCTGGAATGTGCTAGAAATATAGGCTTTGCATTCAACCAGGATGCAAGTAACCCTTTAGATCTATTAGTATCATGGGTCCTGAGTGGGAAAGCAGCCAGGAATAAGCTCACACTGAGGAGGCAGAGTGAAGAAATGTAGAGGGAAAAAAGTGAGACTAAACCCCCCCTGAAGCCAACCCTCAATCTGTACTTTTTAGTTATATTCATTTCTTGTCTAGGTCAGTTTGAGTTGTTTTCTCTTTTATTCCCAACCGACCAATCACCAAATAAGTGCATTAATAATAGGCTCAAGATCAGTTTATGTTTTCATGCAATAGCTTGCCCTTATCTTTATTTTCTCGTAAAGAATGCATCCCAGGAGGTTAAGTTGAAATGAGCCAGTGGTTGTCAGGGGATACTCCCCACATCTGTGGAGCCCGGGCTAAACCCCAAGAGCTTTTGCAATGAGTACCACACTTTCAGCACTATCAAAAGACCTTTCCTCAATTGATGAAACATTTTTATGTCACAATAGCTATGAAAATCAACCAACAGTGCTTGAGGGCAGGGGAAGAGGCAGATATGGTATTATACGATACCATCTAGATTTGAGTGGAAGAAATAATCCTGACTCAATGGGAACGATTATCTGTACACCATAAATTAAAAACCAGAGAGGAGCTGGGTCCACAGACAGCTTGCTGAAAAGAGGAAGTGGCCGGTAGGCTTTGCACCACTCAGGAAATATGTGAAACACCCATGTTTATGCAAAGATCCCAAAAGAATGCATGATAGGGCAGCCAAGGCCGGGAAACTGACGTCTGGCGTCTCAGTGACACCGGGCAAAACCACAGCCTCTTGGTCTTAGTCAGCGTCACCCGGTGCACAGTCCACAGGGAATGGAGAGGAGAGCGTTTGTTAACAGACACCTCCAAGGGCGTGCCAACCACAGGACAGGTGGTGAGCGACTGTGACCAAGGGCAGCAGCGCTCAGTCCTCTCCTGCCGCAGCCCCTGACATGAGCCCAAAATCTGCAGAGAAGGAAATGGGGGACACAGCGCCCAACCTTCCACCCCTTCCTTGGGCTCATCTTTGTGCACCTGGGTCCAGCCAGAGCTGGAGGTGACGAAGAAACCAGAGGTCTTCAGGCTACCTCTTGATTCACAGCCCTCACAGTGCCTCCACCAACCTGGTACAAGACCAGCACCCCTCCCACCCAAGCCAACCAAGGAGGACCACTTCACTCCATCAGCCAGAGCGTCACTTTCCGAGCTTCTGACCTCAAGAGCACACTTCCCTCCTAGACCTTGAGAACACAGCCAGTGGCCCAAAGCACCCATGTCACAAAGCATCCCCAGCTTGCTCTCCTGCCCACCCTCATGTCTTGGTTCAGTGTTCCAGCCTCGGAAAGGCCTTTCTAGACC